TCAGATATTTAAAAATTCTAGTTTTAGACTTTTAAAAACAAATAAAATTTTACAAGATATCACTCGTGAAAATTCACAACAAAGTTTGATAAAATTACAACACGAAGGCATAACAAACCATCGTGGGATAAAAGAAACTATCGACGAATTACGGATTAAATATTACTGGCCGAAATTAAGCGATGACGTCAGAAATTTTGTTAATAATTGTACTATTTGTCAACAAGTAAAATATGAACGACATCCACCCCTAATTAAATTACAATTAACACCAACACCTAAAAAACCATTTGAAACTATACACATTGACACATTTAAATTTGATAACACAATTGCTTTGACAATTTGTGACAGCTTCTCGAAATTCGGACAAGCTTATGTCATTCCTTCTTTATCAGCTCTACATGTATATCAATCTCTTTTACAATTTATTTCAACTTATAAAATCCCAGAGAATATAATCTCTGATAATGGTATTGAATTTTCTCAAAGTATTCTTAAAGATTTTGCTAAAGTTTATAAAATCAATTGGCATTACTGTTTGGCACAAAACCCGAACTCTAATGCAATTGTCGAAAGATTTCATTTAACACTTTTAGAACATATGAGAACTTTAAAGTTAACTAATCCAAGATTAAACCCCTTCGAAAAATTACATTATTCTATTATCGGTTATAACAATTCTATTCATTCTTCAACAAATAAAAAACCTGTTGATTTATTATTAGGACATTTAGAACTTCGAGAACCAATCGATATTAATAATGACGTGAGAACTGTTAATGAACAATTAGAAACGCATAAAGAAGTAATGAATGATTTATATAAGAATATAGCTGAAAAAATATCAACTGAAAAGAAAAAAATTATCGATAAAAGAAATGAGAAACGTGACCACCCTGTAGATATCGAACCTGGTACTATAGGATATCGTAAACAATCTGAAAGACAATCTAAAACAAATCCCCTGTATAAACCTGAACATATTTTACAAAGCAATGATTTGACAGTCACTACTACAGCTAAAAATAAATATCATAAACAATGTTTTAAAAAACCAAGAAAATTAACTGATAAATCATTGTTACAGATTGACGATTCTCTCACGAATCTTGATGGCACAGCAAATACAAGTACAGAACCTTGACTCAAATCCTGGCATACTTCCTTTTAAGTTAGGAGAGGTCAGTTTAAAAACTGCAACACATACATTTCTACACTATATTGATATGAATGAAATTAATAAGCAAGTTCTTGAAACGAATAAACACTATGACGATTTAAAATTATTAATTGATCAATTTTCAGACGACATAAATCGTATCACACTTCTAAATACTTGTAACAGTTTAAATTATGAGCTAAAGTTAGTAAATTATAAAATTCGTTCATTAATGCCAAATCTAAGAACTAAACGAGGTTTAATAAATCCTCTAGGCTCGTTAGTAAAATTTATTTCAGGAAATCTTGATCAACAGGATGCCGAAGAAATACATAATCACTTAAAAGAGTTAGAAAATAATGAAAATAAGATTATCAATAAATTTAATAATCATTTGTCTCTTTCTAAAATATCTATGCGTAATATGAATAAAACAATGACAGTTTTAATTGATAACCAAAACGCAATTAAATATAAAGTCGAAGAAATAAGAAATACTTTAAACGGTACTCTATTTCATTTTTATCATACATTGGAAATAAATAGTATATCTGGACAAATAAAGAATAACCTTGACATCTTAATGAACTTTCTTACAAATTTAGAAACTTCTATAAGTTTTTCTAATTTAAAGATTATGCATTCGAGTTTAATAACTCATGAAGAATTAAAAGAACTTTTATATAATATGTCAAATATTTATAATGAAGAACAATTACCTTTTAAAAATAAAGATTTCTTAGATTATTATAAAGTGGTAGAAACAAATACATTCTTTTACGAAAATAAAATAATATTTTCGCTAAATTTTCCATTGATACATCCACATCCTTTAGAATATTATCATTTATATTCTATTCCTAATGTTAATCAAACAATAATTATCCCACCTTCAAATTACCTTATCCTGGGAAAACATGAGTATCAATACGACACTGAAGAATGTATGAAGACCAGTACAAAGTATTTTTGCCAAAGAAGTCATCTCCTACCACTACCTCAAAGTGAAGATTGCGTTACGTCAATGCTATCCACTACGAAGAATACACAAACTTGTAATCAAATATCTATCAATATGAAGAATAACATCATAGAAGAAGTAGATCAAATGCATTATATTGCAGTATTTCCAAAAGAAGAAAAAATAACTACTATATGTGAAGAAAAACAAGTAATGGCCCTGAAAGGAACATATTTATTCACATTACCGAAAAATTGTGAATTTATAATGTCACAAGCGACTTATACTAATAAACAAGGAATTATTAGTACACACCCTGTATTGATTTCTGGAATACAGACATTGACAAATATAAATGTTATTCCAATCAAGAAATTAAATATTGAAAAAGTACCCTTGGATAAAATGCATTTAATTCAATTAGAAGAAGAAAACCCAATGGAAAACTTCTACATTCATTCCCATGCAGTGAATTGGACACTTTGGAGCATCTTCTTCATTCTAATTATTTTTGCAACTTCTTATTTCATTTTTAGAAAAAGAAAACTTCAACCGAAGCCCGTTCCCCATCCAAGGATGATTAACGAAACTCAAGTTAGTCCACCCTAGAGTTTCTTCTTCGCAGGGAGGAGTTATGTATCCAGCCTTCATTGTTCAATAATGCTGTGCAAGATACCCTTTAATTATAAATAGCGAAGACAGGACTTCGAACGACGGATTGATCTATCGACAGCAGTGCAGAACGAATCTCTGCCCGTCACCATATCAATTTTTTCTATTGTTAATTAAATAAGTTAAAAAATAAATAAATCTTTGGTTTTCTGAGTTAGAATTATTTTTTAAAAATCAATTTTTAATATTGGAAAACATAAAGACATTTATTTTATTTCGTATATTTTTCATTTTGTTGATTTTATGGAAAGCATTGTTCATTAAAATGTTGTATCCTATGTTATAGGGCTTGTTTCTCTCTACAATTTCCTGTCTCACAATGTACCGTTTGTGTCCAGGAAGGGTTCATATTTTCATAGTTGTCGATTTGGTATTATATTTCGACCCCAGAAACACGAGTATTAGGTTTTTTTCGCAAAAAATATTGATAATTTGGAATTTTTTAAAAAAAATCGAGTTTTTTTTAGTATTTAGTTAAAAACATAATATTTTGATAATATGGCAACATAGGTAGTAGATTATTAAATTTACAAGAAAGAAACCCCAGAAAAGATCCAGTGGTTCTTGAAATTTAAACAAAAAATGATTTTTTGGGAAATTTTCACAGTAAAATAACTCGGTTATTTTGGATTTATTTGAAAAACGGTAAAGGGAAAATATGTCTCTTTTATCGAGATCTACCAACCCTGAAAATATTTGAACTTATTTAAGACTCACCCTGTAGTATATAGCATAATACATTTAGAGAAATCCATGTTCAGTTTTCATTATGAGTTGGAGATTATCCATTTTTATTTGTCTACTGGCACTGATAAATTTCACACAGTGTTGTAAAGAAAATTTAGAAAAATACCATTAGCCAAAATAAACAAACCTCGTTTATTTCAAATTTGTCTTCTATGTTATAATGAGTATTAATGCCTTGAGTCTTCTTTATTGTGATAAATAACAATAAAACCGTTTAGGAATATTTAAAAATAGACTTCCTCTCAGGAGGGTAAACGCTTGCTAAAAGATTCTGTTTTTAAAAGGCCGAATTTCTTCGACCATTTATCTTCTACTCAGACGAAAAACAAGAAAGTGGAGGCGTGTAAAAATAATGCTCTATTCCCTTCAGGGAGTTTTTAGGAACTCTATTCCCTTTGAAACTTTTACCATGGTACATTTTGAGCCAGTGAACGAATAAAGAAACTATATTCCTTGGAGACGTTTTGTGTAATATAAAGTAGCCTTCCTAAAAGAAACTGAAAAGTTATATTGGTATTTATTGTGTCTATATTCTTGGTTTTTATCACTTGTGTAACTGAATTAAGCTGGATTTTTATGCGTCCGTTATCCCTTGATACGATGGTCAGACGGCGCTCTGATTGGTTACAGCGTTTTCGCGCCACTTTTCATCCGTAATTTTTTTACTCCGGTCCGTCAACGGAGAAAGATCCTACGATAACGGACGTGTTGGCACTTTTTTGACTAGTTTAATCTAACCTTAATAAAAATATAATACTACAAGAGCCAGCAACGTCGGGAAAACGAGAATTTTAAGAAAGCTGGTTCTTAATATATTTTTTGCTATGCTCTCCTGACTGGTAGACTACTGTGATTCACTACTGCGCATTATATCTGTACAGGGTATCCCATTTTTTTGTGTTTTATGGGATTTCCCGGTTATAAGTAGAGATACAATGATGCGATTTTCACAATACTTTGCTACTTTTTTATGAAACTAAATATGCTACACATAGGTTTGTCCTAGCCTCCTTAGTTCCTGAAATACAGAGAAAATTTGTGATGTGCAGTAATGAACAGATGTTGAATACAGATATGATGCGCAGTAGTAAACGCAACGTCTACCGGCAGCCAAACGGTCCGCAGTCTGTTCAAGAGAGCATAGTAAAAGATATATTAAAGAACAAGCTTTCTTAAAATTCTTTCTCGAAAACGTTCTTTTAAACTATATATTATATAGACTATATATTATATTCTCTTAGACTATAAGTAAATTCAATCACAAGCAAATCGTATATCCGATGAACGGAGGCATGAATATGCAGTAAATTATAAAAACTGCGTAATTTTCTAACCAATCGAAGTCTTTAAATTCAACCAATAAAATTAATATCGTATCATCGTATCCGACGATAACGGATGAATTATTCGAAAATCAATTTAAATCCATTTTATTTTACTTTTTTCTGTTATTTCCAGAGGCCAAACTCCTCTTCACAAGGCTGCCAATTTTAAATGGCGCAGCATCTGTTGTATGTTGGTAGCTGGAGGTGCCAGTTTAGTGATCACAGATTACAGAGGTAACACGCCGAGGATGTTGGCCATCCAGGCTGAAGATCCAGAGCTAGCAGCTTACCTCGAAAGTGAGTAATAAATATTTGTAGAGGGTGTCCCATTTTAGTATCTTCGTTCTTATTGAAGATAGGAGAATGCGGTTTACACAAACCTGTCCCACTTTTTAGTCAAACAGAACATGCTGGAAATAAAATTTTTATAGCCTTTTTCGTTACTGAGCTACAGGGCCTTTTTGAAAATTTTGCAATTTGGGACACCCCTCGTAGGTATCTCTGTTGTTGTGAAAAATATCGAGAAGGTAAAAACTGTTTCTTATAGAACTTTTTACGTAGAATACAGTGGCTTAGAAAAAGATATTTTTGAAGATATGAACTAAAGTTATGTTCTCTTAAATACGGTTTACTATGAGCTTCTCAAAACTATATAACAATAAAAATATTTATTTTCACTATTTTCTGTAAATATTTAAAATATATCATTATCTTATTAATAGGCCGTCACAGATAATAAAAATATCAAAATGGTATATTTATTAAAATAGTGGTACACATATTAAAATTTTACTTGGCACCAAAATATTTAGCAGTATTCTTTTAATAATTCTATTGTTTCTTTTATGATCAATCAGGGCCTACTAATAAAAATGAGACTAGGGAAATACTAATTTTCTTTCATTCTTCCAGACCAGGAGCACTTCCAGCTGGCTGCCGCCGACTTAGGCACCGTAGTTTAATAGCAATAAAAAAAGAAACTTTTCTATCCTTACTCTCAAAACGCGTGCGTCTATTTTTAACTCTTTCTATTTGCCTTATTACATTTTAGATAATGTAGGTTAAGAAACGATTGAAAAGTTTAACAGAAATAAGTTCTATCAGTGAAAAATCAATAAATTTTATCAACACGCTGTTTTTGAAAGTTATCAAAAAAACATATGATATGTTTAGTAAAAATCAAAAGTTGTAGTCATTTCCGGTGAAACAGGAACTGACCGAAAATCATTGAGTACGTCAATCATTCTTAATTTATGTCATATGCTAACATACAAAATATCGACTTTTTATTTGAAAAAATAAAGTTATAGGGGTGAGTTTTCTTTGATTTAAAAAAATGTATTGATTTTTCACTGAATTACATTTCTAAATCCTCTAATAATAAAGCATTATTATTATTAAATGAAAAACAATGTGATATTATAAAATACTTGATGTAAAATAGAATTATTGAACTCCCGAATATTGTTATCTCATTAATATCTAGTTCTAGTTGTAGCTTGTCAAGAGTTTCAACCAAATTTTCAATTCCCCACTCATTTCTTTTTCACGAGACAAACTGCAACGTCAAAAATATCAAAATGAACGTCGCCTATACAAAAAGAAAATATTTTTTTATGAGAAAAAACACCGTGTTTTTGACGTAACCTATTTGTTTTTTCCGTGTATATAGAAATTAAATTAAAAAACTATTTTTTGTTAATAATCGTTTGAAATATATTGTTAATTTCGTTTTGATTATAACTAAGATATTTTTTTCTATAGAAACATATCACATCGTAAGAAATTCAACATTCCTTCATGTATAAAAATAAAATTTCGTAATTTAAGGTAGAGTTAAGTATAAATTATTTTATATAGAAATGAATATTAAGAAATAAGGGCAATAAAAATGGATGTAAATAGTTTAGGATATTACTGAGCCACTGTTGTTAAGTTGACATGTTGTTGTCAAAGATGTCAGTGAATATGTATTGTAATAAGTCTAGAAAATCTGAATTATCAATTATTTTCATAATTTTGATAAAGTTTAAAAAGTTGCCCTACATATCGGGCATCTTTTAAAATTTTTAAATATATTTTTGTTTCATTTTTTGTATTATTCTAAAATATATATATTCTGTATATTTTCCTTAAAGAAAATACAAAATATTTATTAAACTTGAATTAACGACATTACTGTTTAGTTTAAGACACCCAATAGTAGTCAACATCAAGTTCTAAATTAGTGTTCTTGATATTTTGAGACATTGGAACACTAATAGTGTTCATATAAATAACCCCCAGTAATATAAACACTATTTCTAATTATTTGTAATTTTAGATCATAATAGACTTAAATTATACGCATATTGAAGTCAACAAACGGTATTATATGACGTCACATCAGAGATAAACAGTAAATTTACTGCTGAAAACAGATTTTCAAAATTTATTTGAAATTTTTGTCATATTTTACAACCAAAAATGTCTCTTAAATAAATGCTAGATATTTTTTAGAAAATATTTCAAAAAACTAATCTTGTTTCAAAGCTTCGCAGTGTTGCCACATCTACATTTTCCATATTTTTCATACTTGTATGTATTTATAAAATCACACAACATTTTTTTAATTATCTACACAAAAACTTACGAAAATGAATTGTAGTCATATCAGTGTGCATTTTTGATAATTCTAGAAAAACGCACACTACTTGGCAACACTCAAAATGTAAGTATTGCCTTTGACTGAAGAAATAAGAAGAGGCGCAACCTTATGGGCGATTTCGTGGCACAAAACCTAGTTCTGGTTTCAGTCGACAGAGTGGGTAGTTGCCGGAGACAGTGTTGCCAGAACTACGTATTAATCCGTAGATATACGGTATTTAGGTACAGTACGTTAATAATACGGATTTTCTATTATAAAACAATTTAATATAATATTATATGAGTAAACAAAGAACGGCGTCAGAGTTGGCTTGGAAATAAAGATCGATGTTATTATTTCATATTTAAAATATTAAGGTAGATGTCAATAAAAAAATGTCAAAGCCAACTAAACGATTTTTTTCTATCATACGAAATATTCAGTACTTATAAACAAATTTTTATTTTTGTTGTTTATTCTAGGTTTAACACGAATACATTTTCAATACATAAAGACAGATTTTTCATCCATAGATATTTTTAATTTTTATCAAATGTATTACAGATATTACACATTTTAGTATGGCAACACTGTCGCTTTCAGTTCCACACCGTCTTCGATATGCGTTTGCTGGCCGAATTAGATGAAATGAGTGTTTTATGCGTTGGCCGTAGAACGAGTGGAGGCTCCACCGTACAACACTTAAGACGTAAGGGGAAATCAAATCAGCCTTGTCACAAATTTGCCCACTGGATTGCGTATCTTCCCAATTCTTTCAACCAATGGTATTTTTAGTTAAATATCTTGGCTATTCTAAATTTACTTTAAAAAAATGGCAATTAAAAAATATGTTTCTTTTTTCCAAATATACCACAGGTTAAAATAATTACATTTATTTATAGGACACCCTATATAATTAAATGTATGTCAAAGATAGTTTGTCTCTCATAAAAAAATTAAGTCAAATGAGGACAAATAAATGAATTGTCTGAAAATGAATTTTGAGGTGATGTCAATCACTTTTTGTTTAGACTTTTTTTCTCGATTCAAAAATCATAAAATCTATGTACAATTCATTATATTTTAGAATAATGTGACGGTGTTTACTAAAATATATAAAGCATTACATATTTTATGTAATGATTTATACATTCGAAGGATAATTCTAAAAATTCTAGATTTATTACACCACAAACTCCACCAGAGATTTTTTCCCCACGTAAATTTCTTGTGGCCTTGAATCACGTGACATTTTTGAACCCGCCATGTCGAAAGATGCGTTTGTACAAACTTGTAAACGAATTTAATATTTAGTGAACTCTGTTCAGACAATCTTACTCGACTTTAGGTTTAAAATACAACTTTTCTCGGTAACACAAACCAACAAGTTATAGTATATAAAAATACAAATACAAACTAAAAATATATTCGAATAACAGTAATATATTAGTTTAGATTTAAGGCAAAGACTGATCTTGTACTAACTAGAAAAAAGATGTACAAGATCAACCTTAAAGTGAGAATACTTATTACTTATAATTATTAATAATTAATTATATCGATCTTGTTGATATAGTAAGTACTTCAAAATACGTTGATTTACCTAATAATTGTACAGTTTAAAGAATATGATAAGAAAATAAGAAAGATAAATATTCATCTTCATGTTTTACAAGAAAATGAATATCGTACACACGAAAATTATGACATATTCTTTTAACTTTTTGACGTATATCTTAATTTAATTATATAGACTACGTAGATAGTAGAGAATATTTTTTTTTATTTGTTAATAATATAATTATTCTAATTGACTTGCATTGCGACTAGGATTTGAAGGCATATAGATATTAGACATCAAAAATATATTTGTACATAGCCATTTCGGTTCTGTGGTTCTTCGAATATTTTCACGATTTTTCTATCGAATATACGGGGTGTTTTAGATTTTTGTATGTACCGGTTTTCATTCATCCAATCTATTTTATAAAACATACAGAAAATAAAATGTTTAATATATTTTTTGGTTATCTATTAAAGATTGAATCAGATATTTTTTACACCAAAGTTAGTAATTTTTTTAATACATTGCTATATACTTGTTTCAATAATATGTACAGAGTGTCCCATTTTCGTGTTTTTTTTTACATGAGTTTCTTGTTTATGAGTAGAGATACAAAGATGAGGTTTTCACATTACTTTCATACATTCTTATGGAACTAAAAATGCTACACACAGATTTGTCCTAGCCCTCTTAGTTTCTAAAATACACGGTGAAGTTGAAAATGTTGATTTTTCGACAACCTTCGTATCTTAGTTATCTTATCACTTATCGAAAAGGTAGGAGACCCTGTATATTAGTTTTTTACTAAAAAATGCTTTTTATTTAATTTCGTAATATAAACAATTTTACGCCGAATAAATCGAATAAATTATTCGATTGTTTTCATTACCTAATCTAATTGTTTATGGAAATAAGTATAGAATATTTTTAATAAAATTAAAAAATATTATATTTTTAAGAAGCTCATAACAAGGCAAATAAAATTAAAAAATAATATACAGGGCATCCCTTTTAAAAAGCATAAGAATATAGCATAAAAGTCGAAGAATGCAACATTTTCAAAGTGTCCCTATATTTCAGAACTTTTTTTCATAAAAATCTGGCATAAACGAAAAACCCTGTAAAACACGCGAAGCCGGGACACCCTGTACATAGACATATGAAATGTTTTAAATTAAAATTGAATCATTTTGTATGTCTATGAAAAGTCTGTTACCTACCACTGCATAATATTTAAAGAAAAATTGTAGTGAAAATATCTAATTTTTGCACAACCTTGAATTGAATTCCAATCTCTTGGTACCTACATCAATAACTATTATAATCTTTGCACAATATGATCGAAAAAAAATGGCGTCGGAGATGGCTATGAAATGAAGATCGCTGTCATTTTCAAGCCAACTGGAGGCCGTTTTTTTCGATCATACGGTATTAAAATAATACTTAAAAAAAGTAGAAATAGAAAACACCCCGTATATGAAAAATATACTTTTACTTATAAAATAACAAATTATACAATAATTATTGTTATTTATATTTATATTATCTTTTTCTGTATTAAGTAAAAGTATAGATTCCAGATAGAACTACAATATACAATATTGTATAATCGATGTTCTCTTTGTTATTTACGTGAAATATTGTATAAAAGAACTAAATAATTGTAAAAATACTTCATATAATTTTGTATAAATGTTTCGAAAAAAAAAACATATGGCAATCTCGCTAGATTCTTTCACTAGTTCTACTGAATAAAATGTGATTATTCTTAGATAAAATGATCAAATAATTCTCAATATTTATCAGGTATCAACTAAATTATCTTTGGCCAATATTGTTTTTGATTATACTAATACAAAATAGATTTTATTTAGTTTAAAAGTTGAAAAAAATGATCTATGCTTACTTTGGCTGTGTTTATTAATGTAGAAAATGAATTTAACAATTTAAAAAATATACCGAGTATTTCAAGTTCAAATTTCGGAAACAGTAAGATATACAGGGTGGCTTAAACTGGGACAATTTGGAATTTATGTCTCTTCAAAATACTCTTAAGGTTACCTACCCCTCACACAAATATTTTCCTAGATATTTTCATTTTAATGATTCAGTCTCAGTAGATCTTCATTATTTGATAAATTCTAGTGGCTGTGATATGTCTGACGTTACTTCAACACATAGCTGTCAATTTTGTTCAACTTTAACAACTAGTTATTTTGTGTCAGTTAAAACAAAAAAAATCTCTGAAATTTGCCACAAATGAAAACTTATCCTACATCAGAGAAAATTGATATGATTTTATTAGTTGGTGACTGCAGTGTGCATTCACCAATTAATAGAATACTTAAATGCTCTGATTTATTTAGTCTGGACTTTTTTATAGGGATATATTAAAAACAGTGTTTACAAAACTCGACCAACTATTGTCGACAACATGAGAAAAATGATTGTGGCTGCTTTTCGAAGTAAAAACTCCACATATAAAGATCTTTTTAAAATAAAATCATTTTATGCAGTGACCAGGAAATGAAGCATTTTGAGCATTTCATTTCATCTAGCTAATTTTTGTTACGTAATTCTGTAATAATTAAAATATGTTTTAAACGTGTATCTTTTTATTACCGTTGGGTATTTTCCTCTACATCCTTTATTTTTTGTTAAATAAACAAAAGGTATATCACAAAGCTGCCTAGATTTTCTCAAATAATAAAAATCTACTGACGCAAAATCTTAAAAATTAAAATATCTAGGAAAATATTTGTCTAAGGGGTAGACAACCTTAACAATATTTTTAAGATACATGAATTCTCCGTTGAAAACCGGAACAATATACTGGGTGTTCCATTTAAAATAAAGGAGTAACTTGCTTTTAAAAGTGACCAATGTTCAATATTAATTTTGTCTCACCCTACATAAATTTTTGGAAGTTTTAATTCGATCTTAAAAATTAAAATATCTAGGAAAATATTTGTCTGAGGGGTAGACAACCTTAACAGTATTTTGAAGATAGATGAATTTTCCGTTGAATACCGGAATAATATACCGGGTGTTTCATTTAAGATAAAGGAGTAACTTGTTTTTAAAAGTGAACAATGTTCAATATTAATTTGTCTCACCCTGTATAAATTTTTGGATCAAGTCTAATTCGATTTAAAGTACAATAGTTATTTTAACATTTTTAAATACATATTAGGCTATACGGGGTAAATTCAAATTCAGGTAGCTTTTTTCAACTTTTTTGAAATTTAAAGGATACTGTTTTGTTTTCACCAAAGGACAAAGCTAATAAAGTTTTTTTCAGAATGTATTTGTAGATTTTTTCTAACTACCTAACTTTGCCCCAATTTAAGCCACCCTGTAATTTTTACCGTGTCCGAGACCCCAATGGTGCGAGCTGAACTTGAAACGCCCTGTATATATTTTTTTCTTTAAAAATATGATTTAGTTGATACCTATTTTGTGATAATTTATTAATACTATTGTAAGCGACTGTACATATAGTTATTTAACTTATTGGTACGTGTAAATTATTGCAAACTTAAATTATTTATTTTACGAAAAAAAAAACGTCATGGTACCACTGAAATTGTATATAAGGCGTGAAAACATAGTGATGAATGGACATAAATTGTACGTTTCAAAAAACATTGAATAGTAGTATATTATTAATTCACCAATTTCAACATAATTTCAGTCTTAAATATGCAAAATAACGACGATTTTTTCTGTATATACAGGGTGAACCAGTGTGATTTAATAAAAGAAAACTGAAATATTTAT